GGCGTGTGAACACAAAGGTGCCTCAGTCGAATCTGGAGCTGGAGCTCTAAATTTAGAAGGCATATCATCAACATGTTTGCAAATCTGAGCCCATTATTTCATAAACATGGTTGAGGTCTTGCCGTCTAGGATTGCATGGTGAGTTGCAATGCCAATAGAGAATCCGCGGTTAGGAAATATAGTGACTTGCAAAGCCTTGGCTGCGGCTTTTTCCTGCGAGAAATCCAACTGGGGTATAAGAGGGTGGTATTCTTTGGCTTCAACATCAAGGTTGTTGCTTGAAATATGGTCGAAATGATTGGCAGATTGGGCTGTGGTGCCGCCACGACGGTTGTAAAGATAAGAAGCAATGTGGCCAATCTAGTGTCTGGTTGTAATTTGTGTCTGTGGGACAGTCTTGAAATCTCTTTCTGTTTTGTAGTTATCCAAAGTGAGTATCACCAGCCTCAAACAGTGAGAAGTCCAAGAATTTAGAAACCCAAAACTCTGCCCCTTCGAAAAGCACATCATCAAAAAAAATTTCGCGAAATTCTGTAGTGAATGTGACATGCCATATAAGAAGGTTTCACAGAAGACCTTGAGCAAACAGAGCAGCAAAAGCATCCATATATTGTTTCTTCAAAACCAACCCAATCTCAACACCTCCACCACCATTCTTGCTGTCTGACAAAGAGATCGCCCCCGTTTTATCTATAGAAACCACTTCTGTTCTCCTTGGTCTTCCCCATCCAAAATCAGTGTCATAAATCTGAAACCGATTTGAACCAGCAACGGAAGTCAATATAAAATAATTGGTCTGCGGATCACTGCTGTACAAAGTTGAAACCCAATTCTCTGCCCCATTCAAAAACCCCTTATTATCCAAACCTTTTATGGCTTCCCTAATTGCATTTACAGCCAAAACCAACCCATCTTCTCCTAACAGGCCTTTTATCTCTGCAACTACGCTACCGCCCGCTATGCAGTTGCCAAAATAGTTTGCAGGGACAGGAGGGTCCAGGCGGGACCTGCAGTCAATGCCAAAGATCATGGCTATTTTCTCACATCTGATTTCCTTTGCCTTTGACTTGGCCAAGCAAACCCATGCATAGGCACATGTGAGAGAAAACGTTGAAAAGTGAACCGATTGATATTGTTGTTGTTGTTGTTGCTTCTTCATCACCAAGTGCCTTAACGCTTGTATATTTGTGCTTGTGAATTCAAAGGTGCCTCGAACCGAGTCTGGTGGCACTGGAGCTCCCCAAAGCGTACACATCAAGCTTCGATTTTCGGGTCGGTCCAAATTCAGAAAGTGGTTCAAGTAGATAGATTCCAGCCCAGCAGGGTCCTTGATGACTTTGCCAGAAAATGGTTTTAGCTGATCCGGTAACAATAATCCTCCATGTTTACAGAGGTGAGCCCAGGATTTAAGAAACAGGGTTGAAGTTTTTCCATCTAGGACTGCATGGTGCATGCATGTTCCGATTGAAAATCCACGGCTAGGAAACAGGGTGATTTGCAAGGCCATTGCTGCTGCTTTTTCATGAGATATTGCCAACTTGGGCACGAGAGGATGGTATTTTATGGCTTCAACAAATTCATTGCAACTTGAAAGATGGTCGAAATAATCAGCACGATGATCATCAGAGTAGTGGGCTATTGTGAGTGAAACGGCGTCGCCTTGGACATAATTGAGAAGGGGTTTGTGGGAAGTTTGAGGCCAAGTGAGGCTTCATGCTAGAGGTAGAAAGTGTTGGAGGGTGAGAGAGAGCGAGGCTTTGAGTTTTGGAAGTATGGAATCAAAGAAGAGTGGTGTTGGGTCAGAGGAAGGAGGCAATTCGTAGAAGAATATGCGTTGAAAAGGTGGAAATCTTAGCCAGAATAGGTCAAAGAAAGTTAGCTCAGGAAGGAACCATGGTGTGGCTGGGGGCAATGGAACTTGTTGTGGTTCTGGAGCCACCAAGCAAATCTCAATTACTTTCACTACTGAATTTGGCTCTGCCATTGCAGATGGAACCAAGTTATATGAAAATTCTTATAAATCGAGAGGCCCCATTAAGCAACTACATTTAATGTTATAGCTGATTAGAAGCAACACAATTCAATAGTATTTCACGTGTCATGATAAGATGCCACGTGGCCAACACGAACATAATCAGGAGCACCGACCCGATCACAAGTGGTAGGGATCACGAAGTTCTTGCCAGAATAGCATGGTCACGGGGTGCGATCAGTCGGTCTCACCCAACCCGACCCATTACGACACACCGAATGCTTCTGGACAGTCTTAAATGGCTTCTCTAATAGTAATACGTGTTACTTGGGCGGCTCGATGACATGAGGCTATGCTTCGCATCACTCGAGGAGAACACTTGGCCATTTTTTAAGTAAGCATCCTCTTCCATTTTTTGCTTTTCAATGTCTTCTTAGGCACGAAGCCTGTTATAGTTGAGTTTTGGTGAACTCTTAGGCACAAAGCCTGCTATTGTTGATTTTTGTGGAATTTGGCTAATTCTTCAGCACGAAGCCTTGTTTTTTGCTTCTGTCCACAGCAAGTATCTCTGTCTGTGGTGGTTTCCTAGGCACAAAGCCTAAGATTCTGGTTTTCTCACTCATCAAGCTAGTGTTTAATTGTTGCTTCTTGATCCTGTGTGCAATTGCTTGCTTCAAAATGCCTTTCACTATGCCTAAGATTGAAGGATTGCTAGGAATTAGTACTATTCATCTGTCTAAGGATAATTTTGTGAAATGGAGCTATCAGTTTCAATCGGTTCTTCAAGGCTACGATTTATATGGACATTTTGATGGCTCCAGTGTCTGTCCTTCTAAGTGTGTGATATCAGAGACTAAAAGAGTCACGGGTGAATACACCGAGGAATATAAACAATGGCTTCCAGTGGATAAAGCCTTGTTAAGTTTGTTGATTGCCACTTTATCTGATGATGCCATAGAGTATGTGGTCGGATGAACTTGTCTGATCGTCATGCTTCCGTTTCTAGAGCTAGAGTTAATTGAAAACTGAAATGCATACCATTACCAAAGGGGCTGAATCTGTAGAAAAGTTTTTACTTAGACTCAAACATCTTCGAGATCAACTCTCTGCTGCTGGGGTGAAATTGACTGATGATGACATTATTATAGCTGCACTTATTGGTTTACCTGCTGATTATGATATGATTAAAGCGGTGATCTATGCTCGTGACACACCTCTTACTCTAAAGGATTTTCGTGCTCAACTTCTTTCTGCTCAACGTAACATTGAGTCTCGCATATTAGCCTTATCTCATCAAATGAATGGTGTTATGGCTGCTTCTTCGTATGAACGTAGTTCTAGTTCTCATTCTGGATATTCTGCTATAGCACAACCACGTCACGTTTGGCAATTGACAAACAGGGATTGTTGTCATTTCAATTTGCGAAAACCAACTGCCTTATTGATAATTAAAGGAGTCAAAAGGAAGAAAAATGTCTATGTCTATGTCATGTTAGGGTTATGGGCCATTGTTCATGGCTGAAAGCTCTCTGATCTATCTACGATGATTTGTCTTTTCCTATTAATTGGATTTATCCTGCTGTGTTTTTTTTATTTACTCTTTTGTATATTTTGTGATGTTTTTTCCATTTGTTCTGGAAATTATGGAGGGAGGGAGGATGAAGGGTTTAGGGTTTAGAGGGACTTTCAAGGGGGAGGAGGAAATTGATTGGGAGAGACAAAGAGTGGTGGAGGAGGAGGACGCAAAGATATGAGAAGTCTGACAAAGTTTATTATTATAATAATTATTAACTATATTAACCAAAATGAATGAAAAATAAGATAACTTAAAATGAAATTAAATGAGTTTGCATTTCCAAGTAAGGTGTCATATCATATGGTACAGAAATGTGATATACAAAATATGATAAGAGTAGCATTACTCAAACCTAAGAGAATTATCGTTGACTATATATATATACTAGCATATCAAAGGCCTTCTTGTGGAGACACAAAATTGAGTTACAACTTGTTTAGTTACAAATAATAAACTTCAACATTATGGGCAATGGTGCGACGTCGGTTTGTAATAAAAGTTCCCCTTTGCTCATTGAGAAATGGATATGGAGACGAGTGAATCCGAGTAGGGCACATGTTATTGCAGCTTTAGCCAAATCAAGGGTGCAGTCATTTTGCGAGTGGCGTCCTACCATGGTGGTAGTGAGTAGGTGTTTGGCCCAGAGGTCTGGGATTCGAAACCCCTGCAAAAATGAAAGGGTGCAGTCATTTTAGAGGGTCACATAGCCTCCCTCTCTGATGATGGTTCCCCGTTCACTATTGAGTTGCAACCAAGTTCGAGTTCTCTTTTTATAAATTAAATTAATTTCTAATAATTTAAATTATTATGGAAGCTGATTTCCCCACCCTCTTTTTCTCCACTTACACTTCCTTTTGCTTTTTAATTCTTTTTAATCAATTTTTTTCTATCTTTCCTATTCTATCCTTACCCTACATTAATTTCTTTTTTACTTCACTTTTATATTATTTCTTTTTCTTTATACTTAATTTTCCAATTTACACTCCATTTTCAGTATTAAAGGGAAAACAAACTTAATTTTCTTACTCAATTAAAGGAAGAGGAAAACTATATTTTTTATATAACAATCTAAATCCTTTGTAGCCTCCCTACGTGCAGGTACTGACGATCTACAAGACTCCAAGATATGACCCCTTGTACACAAACTCAAGATCCGCTATGAGCACGTTCATAGACGGATATAGGTATTCAAGTCACAGAACCATTGCCAAAATAATAATATAAAGTAGAGAATATATATAAGGCATTCACCAACCAAAAAATTAAGGCATTCACCAACTAGAAATAAAACCTGAATATTAAATATTTATAACTCCCATAATAAATAAAATAAAACAGCCAAAATAATTAAAACAGAAAATAAAACGTTAAAATTTAAAATCCTTTCAAATAATAACAATCCCCATAAAGGGTTTTAAAATTTTAAAATAGTAAAAGATAAAGAAATATACATATGGGCAACATAATACTATGCAACAAATTAACACCAATTTCATGCGTGGATTCAAAGGTCTTGAAGCCCTTTAGCAAACAGAGAAGCAAAAGCTTGCATATGGTGTTTTTCCAAAACCAAACCAACCTCAACATCTCCAGCAATACCATCCCTAGACTCTGCCAGGGACATGGCTCCTGTCTCTTCGATCGAAACCACCTCCACCTTGCTTGGCTTTCCCCATCCAAAATCTGTTTCATAAATCCCAAACCTTGGTGAACCAGCAACACCCATAACTCTCTCTTCACTGCTCACTGCAGGGTAAAGTGTTTGAATCAAAGTCTCTGCCCCATACAAAATCCCATCACTGTCCACACTTTTTATAGCTTCACTGATTTCGTTGACCGCCACGGTCAACCCATCTTCTCCTAGAAGCCCTTTTCTCTCTGCAACTATTACACGGCCGTCTACGCAGTTCCCAAAATAGTTTGCAGGTATCGGAGGGTCAAAGCGAGACCTGCAGTCCACACTGACGCCCATCATAACTGGCTTATCGGTCTGTTTTTCCTCAGCCTTGAGTAAGCAAACCCATGTATAAGCACATGTTACAGAAAATGTTGACAAATGAGGACGATCAGATTGTTTTTCATTCTTGATCATCTCTACCATTTTGGTCGAAACCCATTGCTTCATTGCTTCTATTTCTGGTCGTGTGATTACAAAGATGCCGCGAACCTCGTCTGGTGGTGGAGATTTATACTGGGTAACCATCAAGCTCCTGTTGTTGGGTCCGTCCAGATTCTGAAGCTGGTTCAAGAAGATTGGTTCGAGCCCGGCCGCGTCTTGGACGACCCTTCTGTCAAAAAATGGTTTCAGCTGATCTGGTAGAGCTGAACCAGATGGATCATCACCAAGATGTTTGCAAATGTGAGCCCATGATTTCACAAACATGGTTGAAGACTTGCCGTCCAGGATGGCATGGTGCATGGATGTGCCAATGGAGAAGCCATTGCCGTTGGGAAAGATGGTGACTTGGAACGCCACGGCTGCGGCCTTTTCGTGAGAGGTTGGCAATTGGGGTACGAGAGAATGGTACTCTTTGGCCTCAACAAAGTTGCTACGACTTGAAAGATGGTGGAAATCAGCATGAGACTCGGCAATTGTGAGCGAAACGGCGTCCCCTTGGACATGAGTGAGAACTGGTTTAGGGGAGTGTTGGGGCCAATTGATGTTTCCTGCTAGAAGTCGGAAGTGTTGGAGGGCGATGGAGAGCGAGGCTTTGAGTTTTGAAACGAGTGTGGTGGTTTCGAAGGAGCTTGAGATTTCATAGAAGAAAAGGCGTTGGACGGGTGCAAATCTGAGCCAGAGTAAATCAAACAAGGTTAGAGGAAGGGCGTCAGGTGTGGCTGAGTGATCTTCTGGTGAGCTTGGCTGTGGAGCAACCATGCAAACCTCAATAACTCTGACTGAGTTTAGGTCTGCCATTGGGGATGGATCATGGAAGCAAAGTTGAATGAAGGGTTTAATATATATAATTGATGAACAGACCTAATGAATGTTCCTTAATTCTTATTTTAAACGGCCATGTGGTAAGTATTCTATATTTTAAAAGAACAACAAGAAGAAAACCGAAACTTACGAACTCTTCTTGTCGTTCACAAAGTTGCTAGCACACCCAATAGGAAATAGAGACAAATATAAGGCAAACACCGAATGATCAAAGAGGCGAGATCAAACTAAAGTAGTTGTATGCAGCACCATAGAAGCATAAGAAAAAGGAGAATTTATTCTCTCTCTTCAAGAGCAAAGGGAAGTGTATTTGCTGAAATACAAAATGGGGCTGATATCAGGGCACGCCGCACAATAGAAGCCACAAAACCACACTTGGTTTGGTATATCATCATTTTCAAGTTTTAAAAGTGGGGGAATTTTAAATGTCCCCACATGATTGGTAATCAATTCATGCCAGGCTTATGTGTTGGAATTTTAAAAAGGTTTTAACTGTTTTTATTTATTTAATTATTTTGGTTGTATTATTTTATTTATTGTAGGGATTATACATATTTAATTTTCAGGTATTATTTTTATATTGAATGCCTTAATTTTTTTAGTTTAATGTGGTTGGTTACATGTTCTTGGATGCCTATAAAAGGTCACTCCTCCTTCACATTTGATACACGATCATAATATCACATATCACAATCTGATTCTCTCCTTTTCTACTTTTATATATATTCTCTACGTTCTATTAGTATTTTTGAACAATGGTTATGTGACTTGGAAACATATCCGTATATGAATGTGCTCAATACGGATCTTGAGTTTGTGTATTAGGGTCGTATCTTGGAGTCTTGTAGACCGTTAGTACCTACACATAGGGAGGCTACAAAGGCTTTAGGACACGTCTTTGACGTGCTTCACCGTATCAAGCTCACCTTCTTACTTATTATTTATTTTACTTTGCTTACCTATAAATTTGTTTTTCTTCAATTTCCTTGTACCTTAAAAACTTTCCATTTTGTTTATATGTTATTTATAATATAAAGATTTTTGTATTTGGCTTTACGGAAAGAGGAAAACTATACTTTTTGTAATAATCTAAAACCTTTATCAATTAAAGTTGTTTTCTTCCTGTACTGCTATTGCTTTAATACCTTTTAACTTTTTGACTGAAGCTTTTGCATTTGTATTGGATTTTCAAAATGAAAATTACGATTTGTTTTGGGTAGATGCAGTTTAAAGCTTTCATGTTGTCTATACAATTTCAATTACTTTAAATATTGTTGGTACATTTATATTTTTATAATTTGTTGCTAATGTTTGGGCAATTGTGTTTGAAAACAAAAAAACCTACAGACTAATTTATGTGGCATTATTATTATAGCTCAACGTTTTGGAAGAGATTTGAATCTTTAATTGCTCAAAGGCAACCAGTAAAATTAATTACAAAATCAATTTAAAGCTAGATATTTGGTTTCAAAATCTTAATAATGTTAATAGTATTCAAAAGCTAATTAATGCCCATTGAAATAATAATAAAAAATATATTGAAGTGAGCTATGTTTTTTCTAAGTTATTGTTTGTTTTAAATAGCGCTTGTATCAATTACTTAATTATTACTCATTAATCAATTTTCGTTGAAACATCCAATGCTGAACGGTTGAGGTGAAGTGTTTCAAAATCTTTGGTCAAATTTGTTTTAATTGAAATTTCAAAACAAGTATATATATTTGATTTCATTGTGTTGGGCCTTAGTACATTTGCCCTCATTCATTTTGGTTGCCATCAATCCTCTTTTATATAACGGTCATTTATATTTTTTTGTTGGACTTAATATTGTTCTTTTGTTCTTAACTGCCAAAAAAGTTCTGCTTTAATTTTGGAAGTTCTTCATACCAACGTGAGAAGCAATTATAATATATTCTTGGTTACAACTTACAGGTCAAAAATAAAATAAAATAAAAACAGAATTTTATAGGCTGTGCTGCCGCCACAACGGTTGTAAAGATAAGAAGCAGTGTGGCCAATCTAGTGTCCGAAAACCCATAACAGTGGAGGGTCCAGGCGGGACCTGCAGTCAATGCTAAAGATCTTAGCTATTTTCTCACCAATGATTTCCTTTGCCTTGGCCAAGTAAGCCCATGCATAGGCACATGTGAGAGAAAACGTTGAAACCTTAGCCAGAATAGGTCAAAGAAAGTTAGCTCAGGAAGGAACCCTGGTGTGGCTGAGGGCAATGAAATTTCTTGTGGTTCTGGACTGACTGGAGCTACCCTTCAAATCTCAAAACAAGGATGTCTTTATGCAAACAGAGAAGCAAAAACATCCATGCAAGTTGCAACAGCGCCACGGCCCGCTATGCAATTATCAAATTAGGTCAATGGAACAAGTGGTCCAGGCGGGACCTACAGTCCACGTTAAATAGCAGAAGTACTTGGTCGGATTTTATTTATTCTGGCTTGACCATGTCCATGTGCCATGTGTATGCACAACGTTGACACTTGCACCGATTGATGAGGTTGTAGTTTATCTGCCTTAGTGCTTCAATTTTTGTGCTTGTGAATTTGAAACTGGCCCGAACTGGGCGGTGGTCTCCGGCTTGCGTAAATCCGCCTTGCGAACGGAGTCTGATTTGCGAAACATGGTTGAAGAATTTCCGTCAAGTCAACGGCGCAGCATGGTCAGTTTCAGGATTTAAAAGCCGACTGGTCAAAATATTTATATTAAACTTAACAGAGTGAATTTCATTAATAAACACTCTCCTCTCTGCACACGCTTCCTCGTGTGTGAGAGGCTTTTTTTTTAATCACGCGCGACTTACAAAATTTCGTAAATATTTTTTCCCAATTGTATTTATCAGTCCCGATGTTCGTTTCAATAGTTTTATATTTTAATCGCATGCGTGTGATAAATCGTCATCTTAAAAATTTTCCTTTATCGCTCGTATTTTTACGTCTATTTTAGCAGTTTACACGCTATAAAAGAAAAAAAGAAACTGCTAAAATAGACGTCTAGAAAAATACAGGTGACAAAGGAAAATTTTTAAGACGACGATTTATCACACGCGTGCGATTAAAATATAAAACTGTTGAAACGGACATTGGGACTGATAAATACAATTGGGAAAAAATATTTACGAAATTTTGTAAGTCGCGCATGATTAGAAAAAAGCCTCTCGCACACACAGAAGTGTGTGCAAAGAGGCTAGTTTAATGAGCTTTAGGAGCTAGGGGATTCTTTGTGTTTTTTTTTTTTAATTTTCAGTTTGATGGAATTGAAAATTTTCCTTGTTTTTCCCCACAATTTGAAATACCTTTTATTAGCTCGGGTAAAACGCATAGTTGATCATATTGAAAAGAATTTAAAACAAATGCAAGAACTAATTTAAATTCCTCTTTGTATTTATTGATAACAATTATCATAGTCAACCATTGAACCGAATTTGGAACAGATGCAATTGAATAAGTCTTTATTTAAAACAAAATTCGTTACACCAAAATATAGTAATTGAAGCTAGTACTGCAACCATTGAAAAAGGAAAACAAAAAACAAAAAATTCATCACAATTAAAATCCTTTTAGCTACTTCTTGTACATGAATGTCCTCCTGCAGCAATTTTCTGCTCTCCTGCTACTATCTTCTTTGGAAACCTCATGCAGCAAATTGGATCTACATTTACATAAAAAGAAAAGGAAAAAAAAGATGAAAACAACTAAAAAATTTAATATGAAGTAAGATATTAAGAATACTAAAACAATAGACTTATGTTTCGGAATAAGTCTATCTCAATGTGTCATTATGGATGTGTTATTATCGGCTTCACCACGCCCTTCAAATACTGAAACAGATTAGCCTTCAAGTGTTTGGTTTATTCAAAGCCAACAACTTTATATATGACATTCCTGGATAAAGCAGCTGCTATAAATGAGAGATGACATTCTTGAAACAGTGAATTCAACAAACTTTAATTTTCACCAAAACTTCTAGCATCCATATAAATATCATTAGTGACAAAAGCAGTTTTCAGAAATCAAATTACACAGTTTATATAAATTTTGACAGGAAGAATGAGAAAAGCTCACAGTGTAATTGCCACCACAGCAAATTATGTCCCTTCTAGCATCCATATGAAATAACCTAATAGAAACATTGAGAAATCACCCAATTAGTACATAGAAACACAGAATTTAAACCTAGAAACATAGTTTCCCTTGCATCATGACACATTCACCTAAAGCAAACACACAGCCACACAATTGTTTAAACCAAACCATAAACCTGCAATTTCCTTTTAACAGAGCCAAAATACCCACACCTCCATCTGCATCTCCACCACTCTATCACCCTAAACACTGAAACCACAATAAAATGCATTCTACCAAACGAAAAATAAAACCCATTAAAAAATGTCATAAACAAAACATTGTCAATGATTACAGGCTACACAAATTATCCCATAAATTAAATCCACAACCCCATCTGCATTAGCTGCTAATGGAATGTGAACTTCAAAAACTTCGAAACGTATTGTTATAAATTTGTACATTGGCATAAGACCCTTTCATACGAAACAATAAATGGTAATAAATAAATAAATCTATTCCAAAACTAAAATAAGAAATTCATAACAATACAAATGTAAAATTAGAGGGATTACACAAAGCGACCTTATCTAAACTCAAAAAACCAAATTCCGACAGCTAAACTGAAATTGGGATTTGATGTACAGAAGCAATTGAATTACTGAAAGCGAAAAAAGACAATTATGTCACTCGAAACAAAAAAACAAAAAAACAAAGGTATGAATGAGGTACCTTTGGACTTGTCCACGAAGAAGAGCGACTTTGGTTCACTGCTCGAAGAAGTCATGATCGGTGCTTATGTTGACTCACCATGATGCTTCCATTTTGTTTTGCTTTCATGTTATTCTTGAACTCCCTCCAACTCTGATCCTCATTTTGCTTTTAATTCCTGTATCAAAAATAATCCTCTGAGAAAAAAAGAAGAAGAAAAAATCAAAGCATAATTTATTCGTAACATAAAAAATAGAAGTTGATGCCAGAACTGGACACTTTACATCAATATGAAACTGAATCTGGATCTAGAATGACATGGACACTTAACAAAAAATAAACATAAAGAAAGAAGAAACTAATAGTGTTAGTGTAAACAAATAACAAATGCAAACCAATACCCAATTCCAGTCAGAAACAACCCAAAAGTATCCCAAAGGGTGATTTGTTTGCTTTCTTTTTCCTTTGTCACCTACGTCTTCCAGAAAGACAAAAATAGAAATCGTGGATTCTCACTAACACATGAACGTAGAGAAATAAAGCCATGGCTTTGTTAGGCACATTTGGAGGCCCAAATTATCAGCAGAAAACAGAACACCTAGTTACAGTAGAGCCAATATTAAAAAGTCTAATTTTGGGGGGAAAAAGGGATTGTATAATAATGGACAACTTTTGAGAGAACCCAATTGGAAAAAATCATCTTCCAACTAAACTAATGTATGTTGATTGGAAACTTAAAATACAAAATATAACGAAATGAAGAATCATTAACCTTAAATATAGTTTCATCTGCTTCTTATGGAACCCTTATGCGTCAGAGAGTGCGAGGTGAGAGGCGATTCCATCTATTGAGATAAAATTCCAAAGACTTTTTAATTTCATAAGTCAAACACATAAATAATTACAAACACAAACACAAACACAAACATAAACACATACCTAGACCCTAGCCAAAGTTTCAATCAATCAAACATAAATTAGGGTTAGCTTTGTGTGAGAGAGAGATTCGTACCATTTAAAGAATTGATGCTCTACAGATTGAAGATTATTAAACAGAAAGCATGGAACCGGAGTCATTAAAGCAATTCTGGACTTCGAGTTCTTGAACTAATGACTGGAACCCGAAAAGTGAAGAAGAAGAAGATGAGAGCATAAAAAAACTAAAAGGAACTACTCCCCTATACGGATTGAAACTAAAGAGAAAGAGAAATGGTTATCAAATAACTAAAACTAAAAATTGTTTTTTTCATTTGATCCCCTTTCTCAAAAACCATACAATAATATAAAGGCAGCCAAAAACATAATAGTGAAATCAAACCTACACACACTTTGAGTTTTAAAATTTATTCCCCACTCCACTGATTCCAACAGTTTTCTCAAACTTCGATTCTGTTAAAAAGGCCTCAAGCATGCAAAGCACAGGGTGAGAGGCTAATATTATAACATGAATCCTAGGAAGAAATACTTGAGTTTTGTGCAAGCCTAAAACACATGAAAACTTGACCATACTTGGCATCTTGAAGCATGGCATACTCGTACATGAAACTATTATTCAAAAAGTCAATATAACAAAGAAAAATAACTAAAAAGACAAAATTTCACCAACACTAAAATCTTACAAATTTCACCAAATCTCTTCACTGTTCTCACTTCTAATTTCATTTTCACCCTCATTATGGAGTTGTTGCATTCATTGAAATTAGTTTTATTAGAAAGAACTAAGCTTTTCTCATTTCTCTTCATTTCCCAATTCTTATTTACAAAGCTAAATTAGATAATACAAAATAAATGTTCAAACTAAAATCTACTTTGGCATTTTAGCAAACACTTGGAATGCTAAGCTGAATATATGCAAGTGAATAATCTAACTAAACCCTTATAGAGGAAACAGTTCAAATATGAAAAAAGCAGACAAAATCATACCATACTAATTTTCTGGAATAAACACTGGCAAAGAGAAAATCAACCACACAAAGACATGAACTACCAGATTGATGAGCAGACTGGGCGTTCCAATATTGATTGCTCCAGTTCTTTTTCCTTCAATCTTCCTCCCTGTAACAACAAACCAAACTCAATTTATGATTTACTTCTCAATTTTCGACATCACAAATGAAGAAACGAACCTCGGAAAAAAAAAACTTCAAACCTTTTTATGCAGTGAGTAGATGAGGATTCTTGCTCTGCGAAACATGGGAGGGGAGGAAATGCGTTTCCAAGTTTGAGGGCCATGGTGGGTTTTGGACGGTTTCAAGTTTTGCTTTCATCCTATTTCAATTTCATCCTATTTCGGCGCCGTTGCCGGGGATCGGTAACATTGTTTGATTCTATTTGGCTTTCCTACTTTTTTTTTTCTTTTCTTTTTTTTTTTTTTTTTTTTTTAAAGTTCTGCATAATTATTCTTTTACAATAATACCATGATTGCGTTTTAGAATTTTAGTTTACCAAGGATATTTTCGGGATTTTTGAATGTTTCACCATTCTCTGCCTTTTGCTTTATATATATAGATAGATAAAAAGATATATATAGGGAGGAGGGACGTAATGAGTCTTACCCTCAAATGCATCTATATCTACAAATACAAAAATTAAAATAAAATTAAAATAAAATAAAAATAAAAAATTAGAAAAACTAAAATAAATTATTTTTTTCACATTTTTTTTTAAAAAAGGAGGAAAATGGGAACGAAATTTTTTTGAAAAAAAGAAGGAAAATGAGATTGAAGAGGCCATTTTATTTATGTGTTGGCAGTGCTGGGTTTATATCAAGAGAAATGGAAAGGAAGAAAATTGGCGGAGTTATAGTTTTTTTTTTTTCCCAAGTTGCGACCTCATTTCTCCCCTTGTTTCCTTTTTATAGACGTCCATTATGACACCTGTTTCTGGCTTTCCACATCGTGCTCCACATCCCTATCAATCATGTTCCGTAGTTTCTGAAACAGATGTCTTTGTGGGAGACAAAAAAAAAAAATTATAGGCCAGGTTTGGGGTTTGTACGAGACCAAAAAAAAAAAATCATAAGTAGTGTAGGTAATATTTTTTTAACAACAAGAGAAAAGGAAAAGGAAGAAAAAAATAAAGAGAGAAGGAAAAAGAATAAAAAATAAAGAGAAAGAGGAGAGAAGATAGAAGGAAATGAACGGAGAGAGAGAGAGAGAGAAGGAAAAGAAAGAAAAAAAAAAGAGGGAGAGAAGAGAGAAGGAAAAGAATGAAAAAAAAAAAAAAAAAGAGAGAGAGGAGAGAGGAGAGAGGAAAAAGAAAGAAAGAAAAGGTTTAATTTAAGTGGGCTGGACATATGTAGTGTAGGTAATATTGTTTTAGCAAACATTTGGGCCAGGCATGAGCCCAGCTTGCCATGGGCTAAAAACGCCCCTGAGCATGGAGCATGGTGCATGGAGAGGTTCCAATCAAAACGCCATCGTTTGCAAATAGAGTGATTTGCTATGCCATCGGTAAGGCTTGGTCATGACTCATGAGAAGCTGGCAGTTGGGGGTAAAAGAGGATGGTATGCTCTGGCTTCAACAAAGTTCATGTTGCTTGAAATCAGACGGTGGAAATCGCCTCTAGCTCTTCTGGGTCTTGGATGACCCTTCTGTCAAAAAATGGTTTCAGGTAACACTAAATCAGATTGATCATCATCAACATGTTTGCAAATATAAGCACATGATTTCATAAACATACAGTTGAGGTCTTGCCATCTAGGATTATAAAAAATCAAAGAAAAGGAAGAAAACAGAATAACACAAGATTAACGAGGTTCGGCAATTTTGAGCCTTTTACAGTCTTTAGAAGCAATAAAGGTTTTTACAGAACCAAGACAATACAGCCGTTGGAAGATGAAGAGTTTCTAGCAGCTGTAAGAAGACGAGGAGTTTCCAGCAGTAGTTAATTATTTTACATATTCCATTAAGGATTGAATGGTGGGTTGCAATGCCAATAGAAAAGCCGCGATTATTAGGGAACATAGTGACATGCAATGTTTGGTGATGTCCTTCTTTTCTCTTTTTTCTTTGGGACTAAGCTAGTGGGTTCTAGTAGGAAATGCCCCTGAATTTATACCTAATTGGCAGAAAGTGAATTCATATCCTTCTAAATTTTCTTAAAGAAAGATAGAATGTCATTGAAAGTTTTTTTTTTGGGGGGCAAAGTGTTCTACTACACCGAGTTGGGAGTTGTTTGGTAAAGCTCTCCCTAAGAGTGTTTTTCACAAGTGGATGACCGAACTTTGGACCTCACAGAGTATCCAACTAACATTCACCCAATTTATAGGTCAATTGAAAATTAAGTACAAATTCAAGACACATTTCACCAGTTTAGCCTTAATTAATTTGTCATTAATCATCATTTTCTTTTACAACCACCGATTCATAAATTTCAAAGTGGGCAATAAATTAAACTATTTTAACTTTCCTTTTCAACTTGTTTGGAAGAAAACGTAACCACATGTACGTTTGACTGTGTGTAGACCACAATTTTGGGAGTGGGGCAAAGTCGATCACATAGGATTTTGAAGTGTGTCATCATTGTTGTGAATTAATGACTAACTCACAGCCCTTTTAAGATTTTGTTGTTGATGGACTTTAGACAAAGAACTCAATGATGGATGAGTCTTACACACACACACAGAACTTAACCAAGCACAAATGACACAAGTGTTTATAGAGGTTCAGCAAATTGCCTACATCCTCTTTGGTGATCACCTTGAGAAATCTTCACTAATGAAGATATGTTACAACTTTGGTTTACAAAGGAAACCCCCTTAGAACACTACCCTCACAATCTGTTTCTCTCACACCCTTGCTCAACACCTTGATACACTTAGAGAACTCTCTTGCTCACACCCTTGGCTTTTCTGAAACTCTCACAGAAAAACTTATTGTTTCCAGCTTTTGCCACTACATATGTTCAACATGCTTTCTCCCTTGTGTTATCTTACTTCATTCCATTACCTACACAAGCCAATGGACAAGAGATAGGATATCTGATTGTCCTCCACGTTCTTTCCTTTTAGTCACCACTTAGACTAAGGGTCAGATCAGGTAGGTAATACAATC